CCGGAGGTGGCTCCCGGGCGGGCGCAGCGGGCCCCGGAGCGGCGCCTTTGTTCCGCGCGCGCGAAGGAGGTGCTTTTAAAGGGCCAGCTGTTAGAGGGACCTGGGGGGGCCCCCTCCCCCAGAGCATCCCGGGTGGCCACCGGGGACCTCTGCCGAGCCGTGCCTTCGGGCTGCTCCGTGTGTTCCCTCCACCCCGCTTCATCCCTTCAAGGAAAGTTGCTAGGACGCAGGGAGCTTGGGGGATTCCAGATTTCTTTATGCCTTTTCGGTTTGGGTAGGTGGAGGTAAGTGCGATCATGGCCTCTGATAGGAGGGAATGTCCGCCCGCTTCAGGCTGGCTGCAGTGTGGGTGGATGGAGACAGGAGATCTCGGGTGGGTTTGTGCTGGAAAGTGAAACTACCGAGGGTCTCCTCTGCGATGGTCAGAGGAGGAAGGAGGGAGAGAGCGACGGGATGGAGGCATCTCAGGTGTGTTCATTCATCAGCACCACCGCCCCCCCGCCCCCGCGCCCCATCTCCAAAGCCGAGGGCGGCGGGATGGGCGCAAGGACTCCGATGCTGGCCCATACCCGCCTGTACCCGCATGTGGTGGTGGGTGTGTGTCCGGGGATAAGGTACTTCAACTCACCGCCCAGGCCTCTTCATCCTTCCAGTAGATGACAGCTTCTCTCTCGCTAGGCAGCCCATTGCCAAAGGGACAGAAAGCTACTCCATTCTCCTATTTCCCCGGCAGTCCTTCCCGGCTTTCCAGCGTGGTTTTCCTGATAAGTGGTAGTGACATTCAAGATAGAAGGAAAAAGAGTCTTAAAGTCATTATGGTCCTTTGAAGGGCGATGTGCTGTCGAATTCTGTATCCCGATGCCTCAGCTTGTCGTACTACGGCTTAGAAATTCATCAGAGCATGCTTTTTTTCGGGCTGACAGAATTTATTATGCCTTGCTACATAAAAGCAGGAGGGATTCCTCTGAGCGGGCTCATTTCATCCAGTCCGAGGGTTTTCCCTGGCATGTTCTGGATGAGCCTTTAGATTTTTGTTTGAATCGCTGAGCTCTGGGATGCCCTTGCTGTCACCGGGCCAGCCTACAGAAATGGCTCAAATTGATTTCACTGTCAGTAGGTGGGAGGTCCATCTAGAGACATCATAGAACCTGGCTGGCATGTTAGGCCTCTGACTGCTTCTCCCCACCCTTCAGCCCCTCCTCACCCCCATACTGGTGCGCCCTTTTCTTTCCTAGGTGAAGGCCAGGAATGGCTTGTCTGACCACATGCTTCTTTGATTTTTGAATGCCTCTGTTTAGGTTTGAGTGTGTGTTTTTGGTTGGAAAGATAGCTTGGTGGTGACTGAAGGGTGGATTAAAAGTGGGGTGGACAGCAGAAGTGAACAGCCGTGTCAATGACAGAAGACCACAGATTTCTGTAGCTTCAGCCTTTGGGGAGTGAGATGTCTACAGAGGGAGAGGTGTGTGTGTGTGTGTGTGTGTGTGTGTGTGTGTGTGACTGAGGGGGAGGGGTGGAGAAGCAAGATACTGCCAACAGTTTTCTGCCCCACCCTCCTGCTACTGCCTTAAATAACTTCATGCCAGCCCTACCCTGTGGTCTCCTTCTTGAGTCTGAGGGGAAAAAGGTGGTCTTTTGGGTCACTCTTCCTCAGGTCATCTTTGGAGGTTACGGAAGGGTTAGTTCTTAGGGGGGGTGTCAAAGATGGTATATTTCCTCAGCTTGAGACCCTGTGATAACTGTCTGGTGACTTCTCTCCAGGTAATTAGTAACTGAAATGAAATGCTTTTGACCCTGTGGGGTGAAGGACCACCATCCTCATCTGTGGAACCCCCCTTATCCCCTGCCCCCTTTGTGGACTGTCTTCCTCTTACCTGCTTTTATTTGTATAGCGATAGAGTTTCTGTAAACTTTTTGAAGAGATTGGAATTATTAGGATGGGGTTGGAATGATGGCAAAGAAGAAAAGAAAATTGCTTCTTCCTGGCAGAACAAAGACCCGTTCAGCTCTTCTTTTTCTTCTCCGAAATAGAGTGGGGTGCAGATAGCAGAGTGAGGAAGGATAGGGCCCAGAGAAGAGGGCTTTGTCTGTGTGGCACTGGGAATGACCTGGTCACCCCAGCTCTACTCTCTCTAGACTGTTCTCTGACTGTGGAAGCAGAGAGCACCCACTGGCAATTTAGGATTTAACTACTCTGTCTTTGAAGGAGGAATGGATGACCCAAAGAAAAAGAAATAAAGATTTGGTGGAAGAGCTTGGACCAGAACCGGCACAGCCAGCTTTGGCTCTCTCTGGCCAGCACCCTCTGTGCCTTGGATTTGTGCTTTATTCTGTGTTCTTGGGAAAGCGGGTGGCTTTAGAGCAATGACTTTCTAGGGTTCCCCATGGCACTGCGTAATTTAAATTCACAAGTACATTTTGTGATGGCGATTTTAGATCCTTTCCTATTTGCTGGTTGGATGTTAAATTCTCAGGATTTAGCAACAGGACTAAAAAAGCACTTTAAAGCTCGGGCTTCTGTTGGATTCAGACTACCTTTTTCTTGATTGGTACGATTCATGTGGTTTTAGAGTACGTAAATAATTCAGAATGATCCCGAGTGAGAGACACAGGCCTCAGAGTGAGTTGGCGTGTGGGGGAGGGTTGGACGGGACGGCAGATTGCTGAGGAAAGGGCGTTTCTGTAATTCATTCTCTCCCCATCTATGTTTTATTTATGATTGCACAGGTGAACATTTAAATGTTGGGAACATGGGGAGGGGACCTCCCCCTATGATTGCTCCATTCAACAGCCTTCACTGTGAGGAGTGAGTGTTGGGAGGCTTGACCGTTTGTCTGAGGTCACAGCTAGCAAGATGCAGATGGGGATGTGAGTCTGGGTCTTATGCTCTGGAGGGAAACTCTCCCTTTTGTGAGAAGAGCCGAAGAAGGGAGGGAGAAGAGTGAGGAGGAGGAAACAGGAGATGAAGAGGAGAGCCAGAGCTTCAGCCTTTGGAGCCAAGCCTTTGTGTCCTTGGCGTGGAGAATGAAGTAAGAGCCCCTTTGCTTAGCCGTGTGTGTGTGTGTGTGTGTGTGTGTGTGTGTGTGTGTGTGTACGTGCGCACGCACGTATGTGCACATGCATGTATATGTATGTGTGTATATGTACACATGTGTGTGAATGTGTGTATATGTTTGTATGTGTGTGTATGTCTATGTGTGTATATGTATGTATGTGTGTGTGGTGCTGAGGAGGTGTTGAATGCTGATCTTATCTTAGACTCTCCCTGCTGACTCTCTGATTGTAGAATGAGTTTGAAGCTGCTCGGTTCAGAGCCTAGCAAGACCTTTAGCCAGACCAGGCAGAACTTAAACACGCGCAGAGTCAGGTGCGCTGCTAGTGGTGCTGGGGAGAGCTGAACTTGGGTCCAGTTCTGTTGAAATTCCAGTTTCTTTTTGATGTGTGTGTGGTTTTTTTTTTTTCTTCTTTCAGCACAAAACTAAAGTTTTCCAGGGACTGAATCTCTTTTTAGTGCAGGCAGCATTTTTTCCTCTGACTTCCGTACATTTTATGAGAGAGCATTTATTTCATGTACTGCCTTTTCAGGGGAGTGACTTGGAGACAACTGAGCTCCTGACTTGTGGCTCATCTTCGGGAGGTGGGAAGGCTCTGGCCTGCCACCTTTGCTGTGCTAAGCGTCACAGTGTTCCAGTGAGCAATTAAAGGGCAGTGAGCAGTGGATAACCAGAGCATTAACCATTCAAAGGCAAGAATAAAAGATGGTAATACTTTGAAGTCTGAGGCCCAAGCCACCAGCCATGAGTAGCAGGTCTTCCTCTGGCCAGCTCTCAGGTGCTAGGAAATCTTCCCGTGGCTTTTTCAGTCACTCCTGCTTCAGGCACATTGTGAGACCCTGTACCTTGTTGCTTTCCAGGCTTTTTCCCCCTGCATCTCCTTCCTCCATCCTTTTCCTTTTTCTCCTTTCCTGTTGTGTCCTTCTTCCTGCTCTCTCCCCTCATCCTCTTAGTAATATATCTTTGTAGTGTGTTTTAATGTATTATTGTCTCATTAAAATTTCATGTTCTCTGTTCTTAATTTAAAAGCAGTTTAGTCTTTTGGAATGTATATATATATTACACACAAAACAAAAAGCAAACCTAATTAAACTGCTTTTTATTTCTGTGTGGCCTTCCATTGATTTTCCTCTCCCCCTTCTTGTCTGTGGTCAGTAGTGGCTCTTTCTAGAAAAAAAAAATTCCCCCAGGGTCTCTGTCATGTGGTTATTGTTTTAAAAACAAAACCAGCTACAATAGTAGAAAGAGTTTCCACCCTTATATTGTGAGCCACCAGGGACACCCTGTCCCAAGAGATGTATCCTGTTTCTTGACTTCCTTCAATGGCAGAATTATCATTAATGTGTTTTATAAGAAGGCTTAGACTGGACGGGTGCTGGTGGTGGATATGAGTCTGGTAATACTTAGGGGTAGGAAGCTGGCAGGCTACTGCCAAGAGAGTCCGTCCAGGGAGAATTTAGTCTGATGGTTTTGTGTTTCCCAGGCTACACCAACCCTACTGGATATAGCAGGATGCAGAACCCTTTAGAAAAGAATAAGATACTATCACCTTTCCCATGAATGTTGGGTCGAACTCAGGGGTATCCTGTGCCCATCTTGGGCAAAGCCACACACCAGCAGGTTGCTGGTGGGAAATTCTAGATGTTGCGATGGAAGTGTGTTGGTGAGCATCATAATGTCCTTCTGTAAGACCGAGTCTTTTAAACATTTCATTTATTTTATTATATGTGTATCTCTATGTGTGTGTCTCTGTGTATGTACATGTGTCTGCAGATACCCTTGGAGGCCAGGAGAGGGCGTCAGATCCCTGGGAGCTGGAGTTATAGGCAGTTGTGAGTCAACTAACATGGGTGCTGGGAATTGAACTTAGGTCCTCTGCAAGACTGGGAAGCCCTCTTAATTACTGAGTCATTTCTCCAGCTCCAAAATTGAGAGTCTTGGGGTTCAGTCGTCAGGCACTTCAATATCTAAAGGGATCCTCAAAAGCAAGAAAGTACTTTGAAGTCTCCAGTTTTTCTACTAGAAATCTGCCTGAATTTTACGTTCAACTCTATAACATCTGTGCTATTTTTAGTGTAAACATATTTAAATTGCTTTGCTGTTGAATACAACTGATGGACCAGGAAAATGCTCTGTTTATCTTGAGCTTGCTCCAAGTGCTCACAGTAGTCTATAACCCAGCTGGAGAAGCCGGGAGTAGGGCAGACTCAAACCTGTTGTTCAGAACTACCCTC